CAGCCGGCCCTTTCCCAGTTTCCAAAAGAGACTTTTCGATGGAGACTCACCTCAGGCGAAAAGGAGAAGAACAAATCAAGATGGCACTGCGCAGGCAGTGGCAGTCCTTAGACCCTTTTCGACCCAGGGGCCCCAGGGGCCCCAGGGATCCCAGGGGCCCCAGGGGGTCCAGGGGCCCCAGGGGCCCCAGGGGCAGCCGGGACCCCAGGGGCCCCTGGGACCTCAGGGGCCCCTGGGACCTCAGGGGCCCCTTGGAGCCCAGGGGCTCCCAAGCGACCTTGGGGGCCCCGAAGGGCCTGGAGTAGCAACGGCCAGGGGGGCCCCCTGGGGCTCGACTGCGTCTGAGTGGCTCAGAAGAGCTGCGGAAGCCAGATTCCTGGGGGCCCCCAGAGGGCTTTTGGGTCAGGGGGCCCCCGAGTCTGGCCTGGCTCCTGATGCCTTCGGGGCCCCGAGCAGCAGCTCAGCCAGCCTAGGGGCCCCCGGGGGCCCCCTAGGTTCTGTGTGGGGCTCCGCATTTGGGGCCCCAGGGGCCCCCATGGACCTCTTTGGCTCCACAGCGCCCTGGCTGCTAGGGCCCTCGGGGGCCCCTGTGGGCACTGGGGCCCCCAGGGGCCCTCTGACCGCTTTTGGTGGAGTTCCTGGGAGCTTCTTTGGGGCCCTGGGGTCGTCCTTGAATCCTCTAGGAGGCCTGGCTGCTGTGGGTGGTGGGCCTCATGGGCCCGCGGGGGCCCCTGGGAACCCTCTGGGTACCGTGGGTCCCCTGGGGGCCTTCCCGCCCTACCCTGGGGGCCCCTTTGGGCCCTCAGGGGCCCCCCTTGTGGGCTCCGTGGGGGGCCTTCTTTCACTGGCATCAGGGCACTATGGGTCTTCGGGGGCCCCCTTGGACACCCTGGGGGCCTCTAGCGCTTCGTCTGTGGGGCCCCATGGGCTCCAGGGGGCCCTTGTGGGGGAACCTGTGGGGGCCGCTATGGGGGCCCATGTGGGGGCCTCTGTGGGGGCCCCTGTGGACCCTCGGGATGCCCTGAGTCACCTACGTGGCCTTGGGACTGCTGTGGGGGCCCCTGCAGCCTCCGTTAAACCCTTTGGGGGCCCCCTGGGCCCCCTGGCTGGCTTTGCTGCTATGCCTGGGGGGCCCTTTGGGCCCCAGGGGAACCCTGTTGTCCCTCTGGGAGGCTTTGGTCAATTAGATGCACTTGGATCTGTCCCCGGGGGCCCCTTTGGCCCCCATAGGGCCCCCGTGGGCCCCACGGGGACCTTTGGCTCCGTCCCTGGGGGCCCCCTTGGGTCCTCGGGGGCCGCCGGGGCCCCTACGGGCCCTGGGGGGCCCCTTGGGGCTGCCCAGGGGCCCTCCTTTGACTCCCTCTTGCGGTCCACGCTCCTTGGGATTCCTATTGTCCCTCCAGCCACGGACGGCCTGAGGGGCCCCTTGGGGGGCCCTTTGGGGGGCCCCTTTGGGGGCTCTTTAGGGGGCCCCTTCGGGGGCTCCTTGCCCTCCGGGGTGCCCATGGCCTCGGTCTTGGGGACCGCCCTGTCCTCCGGGGGCCCCCTGGCCTCGGAGGGCCCCCTGCTCTCCAGGGGCCCCTTGGACCAAGGGTTACCCCTTCCCTCTGGGGGCCCCCCGGATCCGGGGGCCCCCCTGGCCTCGAGGAGCTCCCTTGAACCGGGGGGATCCGTGCCCTCCGGGGGCCCCCTGGATTTGGGGGCCCCCCTTTCCTCTGGGGGCCCCCTGAACGCGGGGGTCCCCCTTCCCTCCGGGGGCCCCCTGGACCCGGGGGCCCCCATGGCGTCGGGGGCCCCCTTGGCCTCTGGGGGGCCCCTAGTCGTGGGGGCCCCCCAGGGCACCCCAACGTCTGCGGACTCCAGCAACTTTTCGGGGCCCTTCCTCGTTGTGGACTCCGCCGATTCCGATGACTCTGCGGATGCAAGGGGGTCCCCCAAGGGACACCACGGGGGCCCCCTAGGAGTGCCCCAAGGGGGCCCCCTGGAGGGGCCCCCGGAGGCCCTTCTTGAGGGGGCCGAGGGTGAACCCCTAGAGGGGCCCCTGGGGGACCCCATAGGGAGTTTTACGGAGTTGCTCATGGGGGGGCCCCCTTGGGGGGCCCCCGAGGAGTCCTTTGAGGGGGCCCCTGGGGGTGTTCTTGGGGATGAGTATGGGGGTGTTGCTGCAGCAGCAGCTGATGGAGATGCTGATGCTGCTGCTGCTGCTGCGGGGGTGGAAGGGTTAGATGCGAATACCTCAGTAACACGCTACATTGAGGAAGCTCTTGCTGCAGACAGCGACGATGATGATGATGCTGCTGCTGCTGCTGCTGCTGCACTGGCAGAGTGGGTGCTGGACCCGTCGGCGGAAGCGCCTGCGAGCCCTGCTGCTGCTGCTGCTGCGGGGCGCAGCCAGCAGTCAGGTAAGAAAGAGGAGACACAAGACACAAAAGATTCTTTTTCTTATTCAGGAAAAGAGACGCAGCAGCTGCTGCTGCTGCGCCCCAGGAGCCGGCTGCTCAGCTGCAGCACGGAGAGCACTTTGAGCGCAGAGAGCTCGGACGAAGCAGCAGCAGCGGAAGCAGCAGCAGCAGCAGAGGAGGAAGACGCTGCTGCTGCTGCTCCTGATGATGAAGACCCCGAGTTGCTGCCAGATGACCTCGATGAGAAGCTGCTGCTGTTCGAAACAGATGAAGATGCTGCTGACAGTTTGGAAGAGTGGCTGCTGAATCCTTCAATGGCGATTCCCTGGAGTCCAGAAGAAAAGGAAGCAGCAGCAAAAGATAAAAGAGGAGAAGACACAGAAGACGCAGACGAGGACCCTTTTGAAGGCCCCGCTGCTGCTTCCCCAGAAGCAGCAGCAGCAGCAGCAGCAGCGGGGAGGGAGCAGAGCCA